ATACTATATATATATATATATACTATTATATATATATATATTAATATATAATATATATATATATATATATATATATATATATATTATATATATAAATGTTATATATATTTATATTTATTTGGTGCATTGGATACCATATGCATAAGATTTTGAAGTGTGCAGAGCATCTTGTATATTTTAATACGCAGTTATGATCGCGTGTATGTTTAACATCGAGGGACGACTATATGTGTGCTGGTCTAGTACTAAATGTCATACTAAACAAGGTCAACCAAAAACGATGAATATCATCAACACGACTCCGAAGGATACAACCCCACCTACAATTATGCCAACAATTGTTAATCCTCCTCTATGCATAAAAGCAGCCATGCGTTTGTTCACACACACTTTCATACCTCCATGTGCCTGATATGTGTATCACTGCACCCACACACACAGGTGAAGAAACTCGGCAAGGTCCTTGCGCGCAGCATGAGCAAGAGAGAGAAGAACTCAGTCAATGCCACAGAGAAAAGTGGTGACAAAGCGAACATGAGGGCCAATGGAACCTCAAAGAACAACAAGCACTCGACTGATAACTCTGGATACGCTGTCAGGTGTGTATGTACTTCTAAGCGTGGAGTTATCGCGTATCTATTGGGGTGTGGTGTATATATGCATGATTAGGTGCCATAGATGTATGTGTGTAGTCGGATGATTTAGGTTGATCTACTGGTAATTCTTTGTGTATATAGGTGCGGTATTGTATGCGCGTATGTATATGGGCGTTTAAATAGGCTTCATTCAGTGTAGTATGTCAGCGGAAGGGAGTGTATGTTGGGCCACAAAACTCTTCTAGATAGTTTTGCTTATATATCTAGAAAGTTGGCATACACTCTTTACAATCAATGCTGGACTTTGCTGTTGCATTCTCAAGAACGCTTGTTACAAAGCAGTGAAGTGTATGTGAACTGTTACAAATCAGTGAGGTGTATGTGAATTGTTACAAATCAGTGAGGTGTATGTATGTGTGATCCATGTATTATCCACACATACAACCTCGAACAGACTAAGACACGCACACGTACACAAGCATCGACAAATGCGCACAGATACGTACGCGAACATACACATGTACATTTTACAAGCCAAACACATGTGCAGGATACACAAACAAACACGTACACGTACACGTACACCTACATGTACACGTTTACGCTCAGAATACATACTCACTCTAATACGTGCACTTATATTTACACAAATGCAGCGGCCAGGCGAAGGAGGACGATCGCCGGACAGGCGATGGGGACGAGAAGCGCAAGAGGGACGGAAGCAACTACAATACAAACATCAACAGCAGACAGAAGCTAGCCGTCACACGCAGCACCAACACCATACAAAGCATATCCGTCAAGGCCAGTAGTCTCAGAGCGGTCCAGTCCAATGGGACTGCGCCGGAGAGGGATAGCGGAGATGCTGGATTGGATGTGAACAAACAGGCTGTGCATGGGGTTCGCGAGAACCTTGCACCCACTCCTTCGGGTGGGGTTGGGGCGGGGCATAATATTACGCCTGCAGCGGAGAGTATAGGCAGTGGTGTGGTAGAGGAGGAGGATGAAGACGAGGTGTACACAACTGCGCTGAAGGGCGCAACTCTGAGTATGTGGGCGTGGGTGAATCTGTGTGAATCGGTTGAAGTGTGGTGTAGTTGGGTGTGTTAGTCTTGTGTATGTGTTGTGAAATTGCCCGTAGATCGTCAATACCGCGTACATCAATATGTGGGTGCAGCCTGTCGATATCTGTGTTGGTTCCCTGCGTGTACAGGTGAATACCGGTATGGATTGGTAAGCGTCTACAACCCTGTAGTCATACGTTTAAGTCGGTGAGGTGTGAAGGGTATGATCAACCATCTGTCGATGCATGTGCACACCTACATGCATGAACGCACTAAACTCAACCCTATTTGTATAAATATGAATCCAGTTTTATTCTCTGCGGATGTATATACAGGACCGCTTGGTCTTTGTGCATTTATGCTAAGTATTTGGAAACAGAAGAGTACCTCAGTCTATGTTCTCAGCGGAGAAAATCTGGACCTTAGCCGGTTAAGAGAGGTTTCTTACTATTGGGTTCTATATTGTTTACTGATGCAAAAATGGGAATCCGTGAGATTTTTTGTGCTGAATATTTCGCTTCTTTTTCCGTTTTACTCTCATTGACTAGGCGCGTCGGGCTGTGACGATCAGAAGACCACTACCCAGCCACTGAAGGGGCAAACCACCACAGCCGTAACTCCTCTGGAAGCACTCATCTCACACGCAGATACAAGCATGAGCAAGAAAGCGAGCGTGGACAGCGGACTGTATATGGAGGAGTCCCAGGACACGCTGCCAAGCCTGAAACAGACCAAGCCTAAGTATGGCAAGACAAAGCATCTGCCTATATCCAACCATCACATCACGGCGCAGCAAAAGACGGGCACGAGTCGTGAGAGAGAACTGCCGTTGCGCAAGACGCAGAGCTCGCTGGGGCTGGCTACGGGCATCATGCATATCAGTGATCGGTAGGTGGTACTTACATGACTGCATGGTTATACATGTGTACGTTATGTTGTGGATGGATGGGTTGTTGTGTATATATACGTGTAGTTGTAGTATGTAGCGTACATAAGTGCTATTAGAGCCTGTTGTACTACTACAGATGGTCATAGATGTGCCAACATTATGCAGAGCTTGTTGGGGCTAACTGCGATCATCGTGTACATCATGCTTGTTCAGTTCCAGCATTAGTCGATTACCAAGCCGGGTGCCCGTCAGGTCCAGTCTTTTCAACTGTGGCGATTGATGTGTAGTAGATCGGTGCAAGTGATACGGGTGTCAACTGTATAGCATGAATACGAACCAGGACACGCTTTCAGAAATCGGTAGTACGCTTACCTATACATACACGGCGCTAAATGAAAATGTTAAATACGCTTATAAATCGGAATTAAATATAGTTCACATACACATATGCGCATATAAACACACGTATAAATACATATAAAAGCATATTCTCATATGAATATTCACATATATATATACTTCTATATGCATATATATATATATATATTTATATATATATATATATTGATAGATAGATAGATAGATGGATAGATATATAGACACATATATATATATATATATATTCATCTACAAATCAAGTATACACATTCACACACGCACACATGTACTCACGCCCGCCCCCACAGCGTGCCTACCAGCTATGATAAGAAAGCCAAGTCGTTCTACGCACAATCCGAACCCGGCCTCTCATCCGCCAAGATAGCGCCGTCGACTAAGAACCGAGAACGCCGAAAGAGCGAACGCACTTCTACCAAAAATTCGCACAAGGTCAGCCATGCGCGTCGTCGGCTGACAGATGACTCAGGGCCTGCCCAGGCACGTAGGCGTACTATGACACGGTCTAACAGCTGCTCGACGCTATTTGTTGAGCAGACGGTGAGCAATCCGGATCTGGACAACATTCTCAGATGGTATGTGCATATGGTTTTGGTGCCAGGGTTATGTGCATGATCGCTATGTACTATATTTTTAGGGTTTTAGGGCTTTAGGATCTGAAAATTATAAAACACCTAAGAGCTTTGCTGATATCGTATGGGATGCCGCGTGTGATTACAGCTGCTTGTGCATTTTGATGTGTAAGCAGAAAGTAGATAGACGCAAGCATGGTATAGGCTGTAGGAGAGGAGTGAGAACCATATAAGTGAAGTAGAGCATGGGAAAGTCTACTAACAAAGGCTCGAAGGGCTACGTTGGTCCTGCCAGGCCTATCCATACTTCCTGGATTCTTAGTTCAACATCGCACTACACACGAGTACGCAGTGTCTATATGGTCAAAGCGAACGAAGCGCATTTAGACAGCGAAGGCAATCGACTGATTTCACTACACCTTCTAAACGCAAACGATAATTCCTGGTCCATTGTTGAGGTGTCGGCCGTCACACTCTCCTATATTCCTAGCTACATCTCTATTTGTTGTCTACGAACATACAGTATGGCGATTGCGGCTCACCTACATGCAGGTCTTACGGCTGCCACGGGATGGCAACAGACCCTTCTCTCAACACATCCGCTACCCTCTTTATGTACGCACCAGACGCTATATTGCCTGTCATTCCTAACCATAAACACACACGCACCCACACACATCTGAACAACCATACCCACACACATCTGAACAACCATACCCACACACATCTGAACAACCATACCCACACACATCTGAACAACCATACCCACACACATCTGAACAACCATACCCACACACATCTGAACAACCATACCCACACACATCTGAACAACCATACACCAAACCTACCACACTTTCCTGTATCCTGCATAGACCTTCGGTTTCTCTCTCTGCAACCACACAGCATGGCCATTGCCTTCCACCTGCAATTCCTGCGGCTGCAACGCGAGGTCAACCGACCCCGCACCTCAGCCACCGTCGCTCTGCGCCAACCCGCCAGCAACATGAACGACAGCTCTGATGCGCTATTTTTAGACAGCCAATCAAAACGCTCGACGGCGAAACACGTGTCAACGGCCAGAGGGAAACCAAGTTCACACAAGCACTCGCGTGAAGCAACGCATTCGCGCGTGCGCAGTGGAGGGTTTGATTCGCTCGGGCCCCAACGGTTTGACGCCCATGTGGCGTTGCCCGAGTTCCCCTCTGAGTTCGATGAGATGAAGCATCCACTGACATCGAGGTGAGTGTGCGTGTGCATGCATGTGTGTACGGGTGTATGGGTATGTTTATGTTTATGTGTACGTGTGTATGTATGTATGTGTATGAATGAATGTATGTATGTATGTGTGTATGTATGTATGTATGTATGCATGTAGGTATGTATGTGTGTGAGAGTTTGTGTGTATGGTTTAGTGTGTGCCGCATTTGCTTCATATAGGTGTGTGAGAGTGGAATGAACTCAAGAATGCGGACATTAATGCTACTGAAGTCTTCCCACTGTCGTACACTCGGATGGGTTGCATCTCACAGAATCCGATGCACACTGTAGAGAATCCAAGTGTGCGTGTGTGTGCGTTGTTTCTATCGAGTAGGTGTGCGTTCTGATCCTCTGGAGAAGGGGCTTATCCAAAGCGTGTATATGTATCCATATCCAACGACTTTATATAGGTAGTCTTGGCAGAGGTGTGCTTTATAGAGTATTCATGGTCTTCTTGTCGATTGTTAAATTCAGCACCACTGTCACTGTGATATTGTGAGACTACTAGTTCAGGCGTCCTAAGACACACAGAACATACTCTCACACAACACCCGACACTGTGTGGGCACAACACCACAAACACACATACACCCTCAGGACATCAATTCTTGTATCCACCAGACCTGTGTACAATCATCTATCACATCCTTACAGAAGTGTCTCTATCTTTCCATAGGGCGTGCAGGTACCGGCACACCTAAACATTTCCACATGCACACACGCCCATCGCGACATCACCCCTCTCATCCGAAAGCTCACATCATCACCTTGAATACACGCACGTGTTCTCCAGGAGGGTGCCGTCTATCTACTCGAAGGTCATCCCTTCGGCCTCAGACACATACGACTTCCTGCGAGCGTTGTTCAGTGCTGCGTTACTTAAGAGTGAGGTGGCCATTGTGTCTATGGTGTACATCTCGCGCCTGTCCGATCAGGGCGGTGTGGCTCTACAGCCGGCCAACTGGAAGCGTGTGCTTCTCGGTGCCTGTATGCTTGCGAGCAAGGTTAGTGCATATATACATCTCCAGCTCAAACATATGGAAAGGCTTGCGTGTCATGATATATGTATACATGCGTGTGTGTAGCTTGTGCCTTTGTTTAGAGGCATCCCCAACTGGCGCGGTGCGATGTGTGTGTATTGTAGTGTGGCGTGAATGGATTATGTACGAACAGTACGTCCGGTGCTATATGCAAAGCTTCTAAATAATAAAGTATATGCCAGGGTGGATAGGTGCAACGCTTAAAGGTAGTTGTAATAAGATAATGAGGGTTGTTGAGGGGACGAAAAAGGTCAGTACAAATGTATATTCGTACAAAACGTCTTAGAAATGTCGCCTCCACCAGCGAAGATAATTGCAAAAAAAGGTCGATGGCAGAAGAATAGCATATTTGACTATTTAAACTTGTGCTTGAATGGAAGGTATAGCGTATGCGCCCAAATAAACCCGTCACAGGCCGGGCCAAGTTACTTTCACATATGTTTGCACGGTTGCGATCACAATCTTACGCTTTTCCTCCCGGCGAATACGTATTAACGTTAACCATAGGTCTGGGATGACCAAGCAGTGTGGAATACGGACTTCTGCGATGTGCTCCCGGATGTGGCCGTGACGGATATGAACGCCCTTGAGCGTGTGGTGCTGGAAAAGCTAGCCTATGATGTCAGGTATGTTGTTGCCGTGCTCTACATGGGATTGGATCTCAAGTTTATTTGCGTAGGGATTCTCTATATGCACACATGGTAAGCGTAAAACGAACTTGCGGAGGTTAACGTTATTTCGCTGTCCGTGTATATACGTATAGAACTTGGGCCTTCATAGACTGTCTTTGTTTACGGCGAAGAGTTTGCCGTATCAACTAACTACTAGATGAGCACTTCTTTCGAACTCTTGTTAAATTTGTAACTAGATATCACTCTCGCTCATAACCGAAGAAAACCAACTCCACAGAATGCCAATGATGTGCTGATCACATTCATCCTGCGTATGATGTCAAGCACCACCATGTACTGTGCAACTGCGAAGTCAATGCTGTCGTCAATCATACTATATAACCTGAATGAAGGTGCATACTCGCACATTGCCACACACACACACACACACACACACACACACACACACACACACACACACACACACACACACACACACACACACACTACACACTACACTAC